GCTTGGGCAGGAATGGTAGTGGATAGTTATTAGCCTTGGAATTCTGAGGTCAGCAGGGATTGTTTTGTGTTTTATGGTTTTTATCTTGTGTCAAGAGTGGGATCCAATCCAAGGGAAGACCAGCTTTCATTCCTGGAAACATTGCAGGGAACACTTTTTCTAGGGTGCTGTGTCATTGGGGTAGGAGTGACCCTCTGCCATATCCTTGCCTAATATTCTCTAGTTTTCAAGATCTTTGGGATGTTCATTTTCAGTTGAGTGGATTTTAACTGGGGCCAGAAAACCTGGGCATAGCAGCTCATGACTGAACTCCCGGTTATCTGGGAAGTGGAGATAGGAGGATGATGGTTTGAGGACAACCAAGACAAAGTTAGTGCAAGGCACAATCTGAAAAACAAACTAAAAAGGACTGTGGATGTGGCTCAAGTGGTGGGGGACTTGCTTCAAATGTGAGTCCTCTACAGCAAAGAAAAAAAAAGGATGGAACCTCCTGATAGGCTCCCAGTTAGTTTGATTGGGAGATTGGGAGGGAAGATATGGGGACAGTTGAAGTTTCTGGTCCTATAGGCCTTTCCTGGCCAGGGAAGTCCTTTTTGTTGCAAGAGATCCTGGAGCACCGCCCCATCCGTGCCAGGGGATTGTTTTATATGTGCAAAAAGCCCACTTGTTTGGAATTAAAAAAAACTCAAGCTATAGCAACCACTATTTGTATATAACTTCACTAAAATTAACCATCATCATGATTAAGAGAAGATTTACTGGCTGGGACACACACCATTCCCATTACTCTTTTTTATGTTTAGGTTTTTTTTTTGAGATAGGGTGACTACGTAGCGTAGCCCAGGTTGACCTAGAACTCACTATGCAGCTTAGGCTGACCTTGAATTTGTGCATCACCATGCCTGGCTCCCATTACTTTTTTCCCCCATTGCTTTTAATTATGGTAAAGATCAAAATCCTTTCTGTGGCTTACAAGAGACTTGATGGTCTGTTCCCTGCTACCCTCTCACTCCAGCACCATTTCCTCCCTCTACAGCTGAGTCACAGTTCCTTCCAGCATCTCAGTTGGGCCTCGTTCTCCCCTTCACTCTGGCTCTTTGCACATGCTGTTGTCCCTGAGGTAGGACACTGTCTTCAGCCTTCAGAGATCAGCTCAGATGCCACAGTCTCAAAATAATGGCTACATTATTTTCCACATGCCTTGTCTTTGTAATAAAATGCTACATTTCCATTTTGTTTGTGTATGGTATTACAACCCACTACACAGTGTTACATACAAAAAAGGTGCAAGGAAAAAAACCCAGCAAACTGGTCATGTCTAATACCATGTCACTAGCTCAGTGCCTGGCATATGGCAGGCGTTGGATTGGAACTAGACTTCTTCGTGCCTGTTTCTGTTAGATGTGAGATGGGGTTTATGTTATGTGCCTGTTAGGATTGTTCTGAGAACTCAGGGGCAATAAAAGGTGTGAAAAGGATGCTCAGAGGTGCCATCATCTCTTGGGGACACCCATGGGGCTAGATCCAAGGGCAGCTTACCTTCCTGTCTTATCCTCACTTCTTTAAATCTCCGTGACTTTTTAGACCTGTCAACGATCTAATTTTATTTTTAAACACTGTTGGGCAACAGTGTTTAAAAACCATCACTGTTAGTTTTTCTTTGTCAATTCCCTTCTAAAACAATGTTATTGGTTCTGTCTTCTCATTTAAGATTTGGGGAGGGGTTTAGCCCCAGGCATAAGACATTAAAGTAATTTCCCTCTTTCCTTATATAACAGGACTCATATTCACCTTAAATTGAAGTGAGGACAGTTTGGTAATTGTTTTGGTTTTAGTTATGAACGAATTGGCTGGTCTCAGGGGTCAGACAGCCTTACGTTTGAATTCTTGCTTTGCCACCAACTTTCTTGCACAAAATACTGAGTGTCTTTTTGTGCAGTGTAAAAGATGGATGATACCTCTCTCTCAGTAGGATTAAATACATGTATAGTGTGCAGACTTTCACATGCTAGTGCTGTCCCTAGAAACAATTTCTTACATTTCAAGGGCTTTGCTGGAAACTCTTTGAAATAATTACACGGCATACTGGTGTGGCATCTAAGTCCACTTTGCATTTGAACCACTAGTAGATTAAGCTGAACTTGCGTAGGAAAACCTTCTGGTAATTAACCTGGGGTTGGGTGATTTTAAGCCAATTTTCATTCTGCAGCAGAAACAAAAAAGATGACACCACAGCAATGCTATCTCTTTAATTGAAAGAACACTTTTATGTTCTCAGGTCTATTTTAGTCTTAAGTGCCGATTATGCATCATTCTCTCCTGTTAACAGACACTTCTGTAAGTGATCTACACAGAAAGAAATATGATTCTTACATAAATACTGTACCACGAGAAATTATCTTATTACCTAATATGCCAAAAAGCTAATAAGATTAAGAAACAGTACAAGTCATTTTTGGACAATATTAAAACTTGATTTTAGCTTGTGGAAATAAAATGTAATTTCCTTTTATTATTCTCTTCCTCAGGTAGAACAAAAGCAGTGAAGGGTGTAAGGATATTATACAGTTGTATTCTATGAGCTCTTGTTAAGGATGTAGGAAGGATCCAGGTAGGATGGCCTCGAATTAAGATTTTAATGACACCCATTTAGAAAACACATTCTTTCTATTAATGATATTCTGTCATGTATGGTTGTTGAATAACATGTGAAAGTAAAAGAAGTTTCTTACTCAGTTGTACAAATATTGACTTCTGTGTATTTGCGTGTATATGACCATTAAGGAATAAATGCATATATAGTAACTATAGAACTAAGGAAAAAAATTTAAAGGGATAACCATTTCCTGAATTATGTACTGTAAAAAGTGACTGTGCCAAATTTTGACAAGGTTAAGATATTCACAAAGTATCAGCCCCACAAACTGTGTGAGTTTCAAATGTAGTTTTAAACCTTGTTCTCTGGGGGCTAAATGTCTTATTTACAAATGAACAAATAAGGATTGATTTTGATGAAAGAAATTGGAACAACTCAAGTTGACAATACTTTGGGCTGTAATTATCATTTGATCAGTGTTTAATCTTTCGTAATAGAGGTAAGTAAGGGTTTTGATGCTGGTTTTGATGGTTATAGACACAAGCACTTTTTTTTACACTTTTCTTTCTCATCACTGTTGACAGAAATAACACTAAGAAAATGCTGTCAGCCTTCTATGACACACAATTTTTCATCCAAGCAAAACAGAATGTACCTAGGACCTCAAAGAAATTTAATAATATTTGCATTCTTGTGATTTGCTAATCTTTCCTACAAACACCTACAGAAACTATATGTGCTTGTCTGGAGATTAAAGATAACAGGCTATGCTTGCAACAAGATGACTTTTTTTTTATTAGATGTTAGGCAGACACATTGTGGCAATATTGGGAACTGTGTCATGAGTGTGTATGTAGAATATTCTTTTATGGATATTTTAAGGACTTATTTAAAGACTTAAATCTATTTGTGAAACTTTCCAGATAGATCTGTTGGAAGATGGGAATGAACAAGATGAACTAGAAAGAGTCCAACAACTTCTAATGTTCCAAAATAATGTATCCGTCCACATAAAGTCCACTGAGATGATCCTTATCAGGAGCAGAGGTAGTGGTGAGTGGTAACCATCACAGGTTTGGCAGCAATGGTTTTAGGCTCTACAAACATGTTTGTGAAACTGTATTGTCCCTGGGGGTGACTGTTTGAATGCTCATTTTTCTGTAGAAAAGAAATGCAGGGGCTTGTCTTTAAGAGGAAACTAAAAGAAGAACCTCTGAGTTTCAATATGTGAGGTTCAGGCTGACTTAGAGGTTTAATATTTAGCTTGGTTAATTAAATCCCATTCTATGCCTTGAATTTAATTATCCCAACCAATGTGGTAATTTAATATAATAATAAAAAAGGGGTTAATGAGAAATGGAAATATTCATCTGGATCAGTGGGGGCATTTCTTCTTGAAGTGTCAGTTTATAGATGGTGATGTTTTATAGGGTATTATGAATTTTCAATTAGTGAGAAAATGAAAACCAAAGACAGACAGTAGATCATCAATGAGAGATTGCATTAGGAAATCACTAAAAAGCTCGTTCTGTAAAGTTCAGGGCATATTTTAATATGACTTCATGATAAGGTAGGCAGCTTTCTCCTTCCTAGGTTGAGCTTAAATCATGTTCTGTCTACACTGTGTGAATAAATCCTTGTTTAGGTTTATTACTCAGATGTAAGAAAGTCAAATATCTGTGACTTCTAAACAACAGCAAGTGCAACAATAAAAAGGTGACCTTTCTTATTTTACTGTCACTTTTCAATACAAATCTTCTGCTTCCTTCAAACTACACATATTCTGCAATCTCAACACTGAGGAGCTGTGCAGTGGAATCAGACTCAGATTTAAGTCCAGCTGGAAACTTGTGGGTTGTTTTAAGGTACTTAATCGCACTGAGCCTTGGTCTTGTCGTCTGTGAAATGAGGATAATGCTATCTGCTTTTCTCAGATTGCTTAGAGGATAAAGTAAGAATGTAGGGGACACCACGCAGCCTGCCTGATACATAATAGATACTTTACAAATGGTGACTCCTTGTCCTCTGAATAAATCACAAGTATACTTATAAATGAATAACAGACACTAACATGTCATAACACCACAAGGAATGCCAAGTGTTCTGGCTTATCAACCAGGACAGTGCTCCTCAAACTTGAAAGCACCAGTGACTCACCTGGGGAATCTGGTTAAATATAGATTTGCATTCAGCCTGAGATTCAGCATTTCTCACAGGCTTCCAAATGAGGCCACACTTTCAGTAGCATGGAGCTAGAGCAATGACATCTGGGTACTGAGTTGACTTTGAGAGACTGGGTTAAGTTGCAATACAGAATTTTACTCTCTTTTTTTTTTTTCCTGGTTTAATGATAAAAATGTCAGGGAAATCTGCAGATGATACAGAAAAAAAGTTTGAATGAAAATTTGGGAAGCTCAAATTCATTCTACACACTTTCATTTATTGTCTGGACAGATAAAGTACAAATAATTCAAACACAACAAGATTATGAAAAAAACCATTTACAATACTTTCCCTCAGAAATCATCTAAACTAGCAAGATTAACATGAAGTCATTCATTTATAACTAAAGTATACAACTGCCTGGTCCTAAGATTTTTTTTTTTCCTTTTTTTTTCCCCCAGATTGAACACATTATAGAGAAGATTTTTTTGGTGTGCCTTTCCCATTAATGCTTAGCAAATGCATCAAAACTTTGCCAGCAAACTGCATTCATTATTAGCAGGTGACATAAAAAGTTTTCCCTGAATGTTGAACGAGTGTTCTCTGAACTGAAATCTGGTGTTTTTTTTTTTTTTTTTTCCAAAACCAAAAAGAGGAAAAAAAAAAAAACCAGAAAAAAATTTAAAGGAGGAGTCTATGATGCAGCCTTGGTTTTCATTATCTGTCTACCACTACAACGACTACCACAAAGTTTGCCTCTTCGGTGTGAAAACAACAGTCCTGTCTACATGCACTTAATGGGTTCAGCATGGGAAAAAACGCACAAAATAAGCACAAGTTATAAATAACCATAACGTTTTATTACCATTAAGACTAAACTTGTATTGAAAAGATTTTATATAACAAGACAAGAAAAGCAATAGCAAATTTAACTATCAACTAGATTATGCATAGCGAGTAACTGTTTCTATTACCCAGGGAAGAGCATGAACTCTTGTATTTTTTTTGTTTTGTTTTTGTTTTAAATATATAACCATACAAAGCACAAACATACTAAAATGATCAGTGCACTGGACGTGGGAGAGTGCTCCCGCAGTCATTTTGTTCCCTTAGCTCAGTTTTGTTTTCCCCAATCTGAATTACATTAAAAATAAAGACCCAGTTGTTTTTATTTTTCTACTGTGCAGTAAGAAAAAATATTCACAACAAACATGACAATATTTCAAACAATAGTTCTACACAAGTTACCTTGATACCTCTTTAACTGTCACTTAAATATCATAAGAAAACATTTTAAGACATATACAAACAAAACTAGCCAAGTGTTACAACTTAATAATAAATTAACCCAAAGGAAAAAATAACTTTATATATATATATATATTTATATTATATATACACATACACACACAACAGAATGACACAATAATATGCTTCTTCCCATAGTTTAAGTAAACAAATAAGTAGTCTAGCCAATCTAGCTATATTTGATCTCGGCCATAGGCATCATCACATCGGCGATTAAATAAATAAGTGTTTCAAGCAACATAAACAGTGTTTCAAATGTACCAACACAGCCCAATTCTATCAGCATGGGCTACAAAGTGAATTTGAAAATTGCTTAATGAATTTAAAGCAAATGTATCTTTTGTTTTCCTCTCCTAAACACATTACATTTAACTATGATACTAAGATATGTAAATAATTTCGTAGCACCTACTGCTCAAACTAAGGAAGTTTTAGATCAAAAGGAAAATTAATCTTTTAAATTTTTGTTCTGCTGACATCCCATACTGATGACTTAAAGAAAAACTGTCTTTCAACTCATCTCCTTGCTTTTGGGTTTTGACTGTGGGGAACTGTGGTACCCTGGGTAGAACGAACACTCCTTTCCCCTAGTAATTAATAATTTTTATTATTATTACATGCTATGAAAAGATATGAAGATCATCTGTTTATAGCCCATCCTTCAAAAAACAGTCTACGAATCCAGTTTAAAACACACATCTTGATCTCTAAAAAGTTACCAGTGCAGTATGAACGCGACAAAGTTGTCAATTTCCCCTAAATTAGCCAGTCAAAATATTTTTTTCTCAAATCCAGATTCTCTTGTAAAAATTCTTTATATTTTATAAAAATAGATTTTTCTTGAAACCCATTTTCAGCAAAGAGACCACCTCTTTGGCAACAATGTTAATGTTATTAAATTGTTAATGTCATCAGGTATCCCCCTTTCCCCCATCCCCTAACAGAAGACTGTTTTAGTTCACATGTTATAAAAGAAAAAAGGAAAAATAAAAAACTTTGCAAAAGTTTTTTTTTTCATTTTTACAATTTTTTAATTTTCCTCTTTAATTTGTGTGGGGTTTTCTTTTTTTAAACCAATCTGATTGGATCAACACTTTGACAAAAAAGAAAAATCTTTTTTTCCTTTCTTTGAATCCCATTACTTTGTAAAAATTGTTTTTATTATTTTTTTTTTGTTTTTTGTTTTTCTTCTTCAAATGAGCGAATGGTCATCTTAAAAAGACCCACCTTCAAGGAAGGTAGTAAAGTTAGCTGGCTGGGTAAAAATCCCTGCACATCGCTATCTATGTATATTATATTCAACAACAACAGCTATGAAAGAACATTCAATGCATCAAAGGTATTTTTTTTCTTTTTTTCTAAGCATTATAAAATCCTTTCCTGGTACACCTCAGGATAATCCAATGTTTTAATACTTAGGCAACACTGGCTTATAAAGTCCATGGTTGTATATAAGCCTCGAAAGGTTTGTTTCTCTCTCTTTTGTGTATGGGTGTGTGCGCGCGTGTGTTTTGTTCGTATATATTTATATATATATTTTAATCAGTAAGGACGGGAAATTCAGGACTTGTGGGCTTTGTTGGTTTTAAAGGAAACTTGCAACACTCTGTCTCCCAGGCGATACCCATTGAGGCTGGCGATGGCCATGGCTGCCTCGTCGTAGTTGGTCATGGTGACAAAGCCAAATCCCTTGCACTTATTGGTGTTGAAGTCACGAATGACCTTGACGTTGTTCACTGCGCCAAAGGGGCCAAAGAGCTGCCAGAGGACACTCTCGTCGGAATCAGGAGACAGGTTGTAGACGAAGATGCACCAGCCTGTTCCTGTGTGACCAGGGATGTTCATTCCCACAAGGCTTGTCATCCCATCAATGGTGATCGGGGAGAACCTGGCGGGACAAGCAGAAGGGGGGACTGGTCCAGACATCAGTCTGACCACGGATGACACACAGATGCACAGACACAGACATGGGGCAAAGGGCTGAGTGAGTGTTTGCAGGAGAGTCTTCAGGGTTTAAAAACCAAAATGCAAAAGCTAACATCTGTGGCATTTCTTCTGATGGGAATGGCTAGACAGTTGAGGCATGTACATGCCAAGAGAAAGGCTAGGTCAATTCCTAAAAGCCACGAGGGATTCCCAAAGCAAGATTTTATCATGGTTCTGTCACAGTATCTGCTCATCTGCTATCTCACCTTGACCCTACCCCACCTCCACAAGAGACTGAGCTTTTGGGGGAAGGGACTCTTCTGTTTATTCATTCAGCAGAGTACATACAGGAATCTCATGGACATAGTGACACAGAAAACACTCGATAAATATTCACTGATGGAGTAAGTGAGTAACTAGTTGATGTGAATGCTTGGAAAATGTCATCTGATTTTTTTCTTGGGCAGGTTAGGGGAGGGTTCTAGAATTTCTCAAGTGTACCATCTTTGCAGTCCCTTGACTTAAAGAGCTCTCGGTATTACTAAGGATGGAGACACATGAGAATGGACAGACATGTCTTGTTATTATTCAGGTGAGTGGTTCATGTTCACTTGGCCTTTATTCAAAAGGGTTCCCCCACAAAACTTGAGCGACAATGATAGAGATACACAACTTCTTGATTCTATATTATCTGGAATTTATTTCTAAGCATCACTGGAACAAAATTTCAAGTGGTCTGTACATTTATATGTCTTGAACTGCTGTGCATTAGAAAAGCATAAAAATGCTATTTGCCCTGTTATAACAACTCAGAAGTCTTCTGTTTTTGTGTAATTTTGAAAGGAAAAAAAATAATCCTTCAGGTTCTATTCACTATCTGATAAAATAATGTGCTATCTGTGATAGATGCATCAAAAGAATTAATTAGGATACCAGTACCTACAACAGAACTAAATTTGTTAGTATTCTGTTTAGGACTGAATTTAAACAGGGATTTTTGACCCTATACACTGATTAGTAGCTTGCTTTTCATTTAGTTGAGTTTTTTTGGGGGGAAAAAGAGAAAGCAAAAACTCAGGAAGAACATGGGATAAAGTGTAAGCTAGGATCCTTTAAAAAAAATAAGCAAACATTCTTAGGGATTTGGAAACTTATTAAAGAATAGTTCTGTATCTAGCTAAAATTTAGATTATTAAATTGCTGCTAAAGATACGACATGTAACAACTCAAAACACATTACTTTTGCTACTATTCACTAAGTCCATCTTTCCTCTTGTTTAAAACCAACCAAACCAAAACAAAAAGTAATCATAGAACATATTCTTAGAAGGGCAAATGCAAGTTTAATGGCTATTTTTATTATTTCTAAAGACTGCCTTCCCAATGATTTCTCCCATTGGGAACTCATATACATAGAGAAATGTTAAGTATTTACTATAAGGCCAAGGTCAGAGCCAGCAAAGAGGTTTTAAACAGGATTTCCACTCTAATTGATGATGATTACCTAGAGCACTTAGGCAGAAAGGATTCCAGACCCAAATCTGAGTTCAATATGAAAAGAGAATCCTATTATCATCTAGTGCTGTCTACTCTGTGTCAGGCAGTAGAGGAGGTAGCAGCTTGCATGCCGAAGCTACGCCTTCCTGGTCTCACCTGTGTTATAAGTGTCACTCTTTTTGTAACACTTGAGGCTACCTCACTAGTCAGAGAGCAGCAAGGGATGGGACAGAGCTAGGAAAGATGTAGAATGCCTGGAAACAGGCAAGCAGTGTGTTAGACATGTGAAGATAATTCACAGTTGTCGTCACTGGTGCTGGGATTGAGATTCAAGAGGCTGGTGCTCTGCTAGTAAAGTCTGCAGTCAAGTTACTCCCTCCACTGTGCACTAGTTTGCAGAGTGAGGGTCCTTACCATGCATGCCTAGGAGGTGAAAGAATTGCCTAGACTCGGGAGTTTATGAGGACTATTAAAGACCACATCTCTTTCCCTCTTTCTCTTGGAAGAAGGGGAATTAAAGTATGCAGCTCCACTGAGCAAGAAGATGAAGACGCAACATTCCTAGCAGTGTAGTGGAGCTTACCAAAAGCGCATATGGGAATCTAACAGACACAGTGACATAGCACACCGAACTTCCTGAGATTCAGATTTCAGATTGGGTCTGGAATACCCTTGTGATTGTACTCACAAAGTCCCTGAACCCTTGACCCTGTTTGAGCCCCCAGCCCCATGAAAAGGCTTTAAATGAAAGAAACTGCAAGTTTATAGCCCACATACATATGTAACCAAGGGAAGAGTTATAATAACTGTCAAAACCTGTAACAAAAGAAACCCCTGGTTGAGGTGCACACAGATGTATGTTATTCTCGGAGGTGTGCTCAGAGATGCACACCAAAGTAGTGACCAGAGTCAGAAAGCCATCCATGCATTAATTCATGCTTTGGCCAGGGCTGGTAGTCCAAAATCTAATTTTTCCACTGAAAATTGCAAGATTGTCAGCCACGATTAGCAAAATGTTCTAATTTTGATTTGTTGGAATCTGCCCTCTTATCTGATTCTTGGCATTGCTAATGTAAAACAGTTGCTCTGCAACTTTGCAAAATCAGCCAGCAGAGAGTCAGAGCTTTCTCCCTCAGGGAAGCCATTCAGAGAACTACATTATCAAGGGCTTGGTAGCTGTGGCACCTGAACCATAGGAGAAGCCCACCTGCAAATAAAAGAAAAAGTGAAACACACAAATACATTTGTGTGCCCTAAAAGAAACAAAATTAACTGAGGTCTAAAATTAAAATTAAGAATTTGACATGCTGGTGGAAGAAAAAGGAAGAATTTAAAAAAAAAGTAAAGTTAGTGAATTAAAAAAAAAAATCTAGCCCCAGTCTGTGCCAACACGGACATCTGGCAATCTGTGGAGTTTTAATTACCTCTTTACGCCATAGGCCATATTAAGCAAATTGTCCAGCCTGCAAAGAGAAGGAGGGTCTCTGGGTTAATGCCTCACAGATGGCAAGATCACTCAATGGAACTATTAATAAGAATGCTCCATTTTCAGAGAAGAAAAGCTCCACAACTTTCCCCACTGCTAGGAAGTCTATCCACCGGTAGTTCCCCCTTTCCTGCCTCCAACTGCAAGTAATTCATGTTCAGGTCAATGCTAGAGTTTAAAGCAAGTGTCTAATGAATCCCCCTCATTCTTTCAAGGTCTGAATTAATTCCACTCCCCCCCACCCGACCTCTCAGAACATTTGTGTGGGTTTTATTTTATATTGTGTGTGAAATTGTTAAAGGGGGGGAGCTTCTTAAATTGTTCACCTTTTACTATAATTGAACTTGTGAATAAAGGTCTCTGTTCCAGATTAAAACACATGAGCACACAATATGCATCAGAACGGATCTTTTCTGTTAGTCTCGTTACATTAACTAAATCTTACCACACACATTTTGGGGGGGCGGGCAGGGAGTGTTTGTGGGTTAAAAAAATTTTTTTTTAAAAACGTCTTACTATTTACAGCTCCAAAGCACCTCCTGGCAAACTGTCATTATGTTATAATCTTCCTCACGTTCACTACCTTACTTGGGGCCAAGCTAGTCACACCATGGGGCAGCAGTAACCATAGTTTCCACCATTAGCAACCTGCTGGAGAGGCTTTTTACATAAATACTGCATGTGCTTTCACACAAAATAAAAATTAGATGACTTGGACTCTTCATGAAGTTATTAACCATTTCAGAGTCACCGGGCATAGGAGGACAAATGACGATTTTTCTCCTCACTGTAGCCAGATGGACCGTTACTATTCTAGATAGAAAGGCCTACTATTTTCCATGTGAAATCTGACACAGAGAAAAGCCCTTTCATTAAAGGGAAGCTGGGATGTGGGTGGAATAAAATAATTGTTTATAATTTACTACAGGTAGGTCAAGACTGTGCTTATCTTTAGCACAACAGAGGACAGTTAAGGTTGTATTGCCTTCATGGGAGAAACCTGCCTTTCAGAAATGTCCCAGAAGGGACATGCCCCACTGTACCAGGGGCTTCCTGGGGGGGTGGGTACCTGAAGATAACACTAGCGAGGCTTGAATTAAATCTTCCTCCTTGTCTTCCCAGAATGTGCTGACTTAAGAGCGCAAAGTTAAGATTACTCTTTTGGGTTCCCTCCCCTGGAACCCAAAAGAACTACCTGGGAAAAAAGCTACTTCCTCTGATAAGAATCTGCCTCCTGGTCTACTCTTTATACTAAAAGCCACTGTCCAGCCTAAAGTCTAAGCTGCTAAATGTAGTCACTTATTTGCGATTAACTCTTGTGAAACAGAACCTTCTTGTTTGGTTAAATATAGAAATTTTGTTTCTACCAAAGAATCACAAGTTTAACCAAACAGTCACAGTAGTAAGCTGGAAGGGAGCTTGGAAGAGCTTCTGGTTGACCCTCTCCTTTCATAGGAGGGGAACCTGAGGCTCCAGGCGAGTTTCACACAGAAGTTACTGGGGACAGCGGCTCTAAGCCTTGCTCCATCCTTCAGAGCCATGGGCTTCCCTGGTCCTTGCCCTGCTCTGTACTCATGGAACAGGCTCCCTCCTCTGCAGGTGTGCCTACCTGAACCTCTGGGCCTGGTGGTGTAGTGGACCAGGGTAACGCCGGTTGGGGGACTGGTACAACTGGGAAAGCAAGGCCTGGCTGGACTTCTGGCTGGGGTTGTTGGCAAACTTCACAGTAATCGGTTCTGTAGCACCGCTAGGCTTCTGGCCATTCAGCCCTTTGATGGCTTCTTCTGCCTCGATCCTCTTATCGAATCGGATGAATCCCACCCCTCTAGACACTCCTGGGGAAAGAGAAAGAGGCTTTGTAAAGAGTGAACAAACCAAACTGGTAAATATCTCTGGGAAAGATGAGTGGGGTCTCATGAGTATTTTGTGGAGAATTAGCCCACCTCTGGGGCCGGGGCTGATCCTGGCTCCCTGAATATCTCTCACCCCCCAAAATGTACCTGCAAGCATTTCTGTCAACGTGACTCTGGACGGATTCATCCCACATACAGAGAACGGGGACCTCTTGTACTTGTCCCCTCCAGCCCTCCACTACTGCTCTGCTCAGCCCTCATCTCTCTTAAATTACTGTGACTGATCACCTACCATCCAGTTTCTAGTTCTTCAGTGTATCTCCACACCTAGAAAATTACCTCTGACCACATTGCACCCTTGGAAACATCTTCTATACCTCTTTTGTACCTTGTAAATATAACTTGTGCCTCATACCTATTCTTCACTGTCTCAAACAGATTAAGAAACAAGCAAACAAAACTCACAAAATATCTTTCCCTAGCTCTTTGTTATATGCAAAGACTTCTTGGCACAGCATTCAAAGTCCTTGGTAATCTGGCCTCATCCCCACATACGAATCACCCTGACATGCCTGACATTCCTTGAACAGGCTGTGTTCTACCTCAACTCTGCCTTGGGATGTGCTGTCCTCTCTACCCTCCATTTTGCCAGGTAAATTTGAGTCATCCTCTAAACTCCTGTTTAGACATTTCTTCCTCCATGGAACCTTTCCAACAATCACAACCAGGCATGGTGTGCCTTCTCCCGAGCTCTCATAGGGCACTAGATAGTCTCTATGAGGTATCTGGCACATTGGAGCCCTGTAAGGGCAAGGACTGTGTTTTCTTCATTCTTGGTCCTTAATGCACAGTGTCTGCACAGTGTCTAGGGCAGACCCAAGTTCAGTGAGAGCTGAACTTTGCATGAATCAAATGATAAACATGTGTGTGCTAAAATACTCTTAGGGAATGAGTTGTAAATTGGGGGTAGGCAAACACACCTTGTCATTACAAATGCAACCCCAGGTACCTTACATTTTTTACTGAGATGTAGTGTTTGGCTGTCTTTATTATGGACAGAGAACTCCAGTACCAGAGCCTCGGTTTGTATCCCTGCCCTGTGACTAGCTAGCTGGTGGGAAGTCAGATATCTCACTTTGGATCCATTTCCTGATGTGTGGAATAAGATCATTTGAAGTTCCTTCTAACTCTATAATGCTATGAACTGGAGCTAGAGCTATATATCTAGGTTTTCACATAGAAAAATGATGTTACTGGTTGAAGGCTGAACGAGACTTTGAATGTCATATAGTCCCACTCTCAAGCTGATCCCCAAATCCTCTGTTGCAACCCTGACAAGTAGTTTGTCTGCTGCTGGAGCAATTCCCATGGTGGAGAACTCTGACTTCTCAAGATGGCCCATTTTAAACTGGGGCAGTTGACTGATAAGAAATCTTTCTCTCAAGTCAGAAATCTACCTATTTGTGGCCCATATCCACCACCTTCAGCAACCACTAGCCTACTCCTGTGGGTAACAGGGCCCTGATACTCGAGGAAAGAAATTACAGAGAAACACTTAACCTGTGACTTGATCAACCAGGATTCGTGAGGTGATGATACGACCATATTGCGAGAAAAGCTGCTCCAGCTCCTTCTGGGTCATGGTTTTGGGAAGGCCGCTAACATAGAGGTTAGCATCCCTGATTGAGGCCGAGCTTGGACGGGCATATGAGACCTAGGAGAAGGTAAGAGGAGCTAAATGTATTACAGGTACTCATGCTCCGAGTAGAGACTGAGGCAACCATAAGATGACAGCCCCTTGTCTGTCCTTATGACTCATGGTGTCAGTTTAAGTCACTCAATAGTTCATAGTTTGAACTACTCTTGTAATAGTATAAGAACTAGGAGAACAGCAATAGAGGGACAAAAGGAGAGTTGATGATAACTTAAAACAAACATAGAGATAAGGGTCTCCAAGTGCAGAACAAAATAGCTACTGTGTGGCAGCTGTTAAATGCAGAACTACCCACGCATGAAGTTCTGAAGATTTACCTCCTGAATGTGGGTGTATAGATGATTTACTGTATCCAACACATAATAATCTTTGAATAAATCAAAAAAAACCCCTATGCTATGAAATTCTGTTCTGCACATTTCTCTCCTTGCCACCCTTCCTACCCTCATTCCATTCTTGAAAACATAAAAGTGATCAGGTTCTCTGCAAGATTTTTTATGTCCCTCCTTTGTATTGCTCCAATCTGTTCCTATAAGGTCTGTTCTCACTGAACGACAAAGTGCTGATGAAATGGGGCTGAATGAACATCTGCTTGAAAACTGGATATGTGACCTTATCGTCACATCTACAAGGACCAGTTGACTCTAACTTTGAGACAGTACAGGTAAAACCACAAGAAACAAAATGGAGGCCTGGTGGACAGGAGGTAGGGGTTGGGCAGTTGGGAGAGAGAAGAGCGCCTCACCGATGGTTATAATAAGTTCGACTTTGTAAATTTGTCCTCTCAGATCTCTCAATGCTTTTTTTCTCCCCAAAAAGCTAACACAGAAGTGTAAACAGATCTGAAATTCCATCTGCAAGAAGCCAAATCTTTAGCAGTATACATAAGCAAAGCAAACCCCAGCAGTCATTAATTTTAGACTTTCATTTACTTATTTATTTATTTTTTTAAAGAAAATAACATCAGACGTTTGAAATATAATTTACAGCTAGTCTAACAAAAGCACTTTCCTGCAAAAGCTATTTCTGGGGCAGTTAGGGCTCAGAATAGATGATGAAAACAGTCATTTCAGAGCACATCTGACAACGTTGGACAGAAAGGACCTATATGCCTTAGTATTTTTCTGTAGGGAGTTTTATTTAATCTATATAACCAATTTACAAGATTTGGTAAGGCTGGGAAAGGGGCAGCAGGGAGAGAGAAAAAAGAGAGGAAGTGGGGTGGGGAATGCATGTGCGTGTATGCAAAAGGAATTACATGTTAAACTGCACCTTTGGCATTAACAACTAAACCTTCAATAGCAAAGTGGGCCTTGCTTCTGGGACCTTCAGAGGAGAGAATGGGTGTAGCAAAGTGGTTGAAGGATGAATAGACCCCTCACTCATGGCCCACTCTTCCTTTGTATGACAGAACGCCAGGTCCCTTTATGAGTCTCACACCTAAAAATAGATGTTGACTCGACAGAAAATGATGTGAATGACTAATCTGCCTCCCTGGCCTCCCTCCTGCTGATGGAGTGAGGCAGCTGCCTACCATGTCTACATCTTCTGGAGACCCACGGGCATCCTGGGAGGCCTCTGTAGACTCCACTTCTTCTCAGCACACAGCTAAGAGGCAGAGGGGGCTCTGTGTGTGCTTTTGGGGCGTGGATCTGAGGGGCCAAGAACCCCACTGACTGCCTGGGCAGGGCTTTACTCCATAGAAGATTCTCCTTCTCTTGTGCTCTAAAGGACAAAGTCTTTCAGGTTATAATCTAGCAGAACTATTTTTCAGGCAAGGGAAGGAGTGGTAGAGAGAAGGAAATACCACAGTGACAGTTCCATAATAATGAGGGTCACTTATTTTACTCTGCCAATTATTGACAAATTACATGAACGACATTTGTGTTTCCCCAAAACATGTCTTCCCACCTGTATGCCTTTGCTCATGGGAAGATTTTTTCCACCTACTTATTCAGGTCCAAATCTTACTCCTATGGCTCAAATGCCACCATCTCTTGATAGCCTTCTCTGACATTGCCTCCTCCTAAAAATCTCCTTAGCATTAAGCTCAATGAAGCAATGAACCATGGTACTTAACCCATTCTGACCTTAACTCACCACCTCTCTATCTGCCTCCTTAAGGTCAGGGTTGTATGCGTGTGTATGTGTGTGTGTGTGACTCATCTCTGTGGCTCTAGCTCTCAGCACAGAGCCTGATACCTGGCTCTGAAAAAAAAAAGAATGAACACCCACAGCTCATGATGAATGATGCTGGCATTAATGGCTCTTTGGAGTTAACTATAGCTTGGTTCTTCCACTAATGTGGATCACTGAGAACCAAGTACCCAGAGTCATACTTGTGTCTCTCTGCTAAGCTAAGAGTTGAGGAACAGGATGCCTCCTCCCTCCAGTGTCTGGGGTTGGAAGGACTGCAAGAAGATTGTTCTAGAATTAGAAATCTCTCCTCTCAGTAGACATTTCCTGAGAATCTGCTAGGAATCGGGCATAGTGCTGTATGCTGTGGACACAGCAAGAGCCAGACATGGTCTTTTGCTCTAAAGAACCTCAAAGATCAACAGAGACCTCATAGGAGCTCAATAAATATAGGTTGAGGTGGAAGAATGGATGGGTAGGTATATAGATCAATTATCACAAAGCTACAAGATGTGTGCTTTGCCAGGGATATGTATGGGTGTGACTCCAACACAGAGCAGAGATGCATCAAGGGTTAATAGGACCAGGAAGAAGACAGAGCTGAAATGAGACTGGTGGTGAGACAGGTGGTGGTGTCATCAGGGAATAGTGCATGGTTAATTATCTTACCATGTTGTAAGGACAAATGAGGTGACAAAGGTCAAAGGGTTTGAGGAAGTGCCTGGCATTGGGAATTTATTACTATCCAATAAATGCATAATACATAGTAATGACTTCAATTTCCATTAGTTCTGGGCAGCCAGAGCTGGGGTACGGAGATGAGCAGATTGAGGGCAGTGCCTGCTAGTGAAAAGGAGCTGGCATTGGAAAGTCAATGACACAACCAAAACCATTTCCCCAAAACATAATTCTGACAGAAGCAGAATCTCAGCCAAGAGAGATACTGTGACAGATTCCCAGAGACAGACTCTAGCCACAGGGCTGTAAAACTCCCAACGACAAATAGTATCTCAGTCATTCTATCCCAAGACTGATTCCTGCATAGTTTTTCTCCTCTATTTGAATTCTTAAGCCATTGCTCTTTTAGTCCCCATGTATAAGAAGCCTGTAAGGGTAGGAGTGGGCAAGAAATGACAAAAGAGAACTTTTTCCACATTCAATATAAACATGCTCATCCCTGTATCTAAAATTTTCAAGTTTCCATATACATTTATTAATTCCAATTGAAGGACTGTAGGTGTCATGCCCTTTGTTAGACTGAAAAGTTTCCAAAAAATTGCCAACTTTCAGCCCCTGCAAAGGGTCTGGCATTGCTGGCATTTTAACACTCCCTGAGTCAGTAGCCTAGAGCCCACGGCTCCCAGTGCTACAACCAGTGCCTGGAGAATTATCTTGCTTTGGACCATCAGGCTCCAGCTCATTTCATTCACCCAGAATCTCTGATGACAAGATTGGCATTTCTAGGCCAGCACAGATCTTGGTGTGGATTTCAGAATCAGTTGAGAGTTAAGAAACCACTCTTCTCTCTGAGCAAAGGTGGCCCAAAGGCAGGTGACTGTGAATGGCTGGCTTTACAGATGATCTTGACAAAATTTTCAGTTCTCCCCATCCCTGTCAGCTCTCAGTCTCCCCACTCCCTATAAGAATGACATTATAGCAACAAGCTTATAAACCTTAACTGTGAGTGGGCTCCAGTACACACTAGCTATGAAACCTTGGGCAAGTAATTTGATCTCAATAAGTCTCAATTCCTTTTCTGGTAAAAAGGGGAAGGCAATTCTCCTTTGATTGGCTATCATAAAGAATTTAGAAAATGTTTTGATGTATCTTGCACACATCTATAACTTAGTAGACTCCTAGTAAATATTATCATGTGATGAGTCATATAGGCATTTGTGGGCCAGTCTGGGAATCTAGCTTCCTTTGGGATATACCCTCCAATTTTACCAAACAAACATACAAACTTCTGGAATGCTGCCAGCAGACATCTGTAGAGACATTGTCCTTTGCCACTCTGGTGGGGTCTGGACCATCTTTCAACACTTCACTGTCACGAGAGTCCTCTAACATATTCTCACAGATCCCATTGTCTCACATTCACAAAGTACATGGTGTTTTCCAAAGTGACGTCCCAAGGGATTCTTACAAGATGGGTAAGGTAGCCAATGTCATTCTTCGCAGACGGGGGAACAAGACCAGGGCTGGGGGCTGCCTCTCCCCACACAACACCCACATGTGCCTTTACCTGGTCGTAGCATGTGGGGGTCACAGCATGGCCTAGGGAACGATGTTTCCTGAATCATCTAGCAATACCTCCTGCCCCTTCTCTGACCACCATGACAGTGAGAAAGGAGAGGGCAAGGAAAACAAGGTTAAGTCATGATCTTAGAGCTACGTAGATAAAATGAGAGGAAAAGGCATCCTTCTTAGTTCTGGAAAGGTGCTCCCTTAGGAAACCTAGTCTCATCTCAGGGGTCAGATGACAGCTCATTCCTTTGTCCCTTTCCTGAACACTTGCTGTGTGCCAGGGCAGGATGAGTGCTGGGAGTGTCTCTGTTTCAAGGATCCCACATTCTAGTGAGGGAAGCAAGCAAGGAAATGAAGTGTGAAATACAGAAGGCTATTGCTTGGGGAGTGAAGGTGTGTGGAACACTCATTTCTCACTTCTGGTGTTTTCCTCCATATGGAGGGAGACCCTGGAGTAAGGCCTTTTTCTAGTTCTTTTCTTGGGGAGATGGAGTAACCACACTAAATGGAGGCTTCAATGAAAGAAATGGGCAGGTGAGGCTCAGATGTTGCCTGTTCCTCCCTTTTGGGAGCCAAATACCAGCCAGAAGCACAAACTCTGTCCCAGGTTCTAAGGT